TCATGTGATATGACGTAATTTCGACTATTTCGACTTTTCATTTCGACTTTTGGGTTTTCATTTCGACTTCATGTATAGTACCTGTATTACCACAAATTTCCGATCATTCAATTGTGATTTGTTCCATTGATAATTACCTCAAGGTCAAAAATAACAAACATAATATTCCAAAAAAGACGATATATGACTATGATAAAATGACTGAGGAGCTCTGGTCTGAATACAAAAACAAGATGGATGGCATTGTTAATAGCTGTGAATTGTGCTAATTGTATTATCGGTCGAAATTATGAATCAATAAATTCTACTTTAAAATAAAGGAGTCTGGATATTGACATTCAATCGCAAATATCTCGAGACGGGATGATCCAAAATCAATGAATATTAGCTCATTGGATTCGTCTAGTCGCGGGGAATCGAATGGTAGTTGTTTTATACGAATCGATGCGATATTAACCGAGATCGTAAATCATTTGTTTTTTTTTGTTTTTTCTATATATAAAAATCATGTGATATGACGTCATTCGACTATTTCGACTTTTCACCTCTAATGGTGGAAATAATTTCGACCATTTCGGATGTCCGAAATGATCTATTTTAACTTCATGTATAGGTTGACATCTAGCTTCTGCCATGTTTGGTGGATTAATAAGTGGATTATTTTATAGATTTAAAATAATTTGCCTCGAATTTATTTCTTGAGCTTTCCATTTTTGATATCAATTAAATACCCAGGCTCTATTGAATTCTGCTAAGTCAGCCTCAGTTTTGCACCTTCAATTTAATAGCTGAAGAGCTACCTTTTCTTGTAATAATATATGATTACACCTTTCTACTTTTTGTATTCTAAGCCACTATAGTCGTCATTCATCTATTTCATTATTATATATGCTAAAGTTAATAATTGAGCTTTTCAAATACATTCATTTCTAACTATTGACCTGTATATTAGCCATATTAAGCAAACCTTGATAATGTAAGTCCTCATTTGATATCTTTTGCATATGAGTACGAATAGTTGCTAATGTTATTTGTATACCATTCAAAGTATTTTGAGGTTAAATGATCTATCTCCATCAATATATATTTCAACACGATTTATAGCTATTGCAATATCTCTTAAAAATATGGTAATACCATTGTAAATTATTTATTTGTGATAATTTTTTATCTGTAATCTTCCTAATTCATTTCTTAAGCTGATCAACCTTGTCTTCTAACCTTAAAATATAGATATCTTGTGCAGTATTGGCATTACCTTTATATCTTAATCCTGTTGAACTTGGTAAAGATGCTATTTAAGGGATTTTATCTTGGTTTTAAGAGAATCTACTTCACCTTCGTGGACTATAATTGCTGAATCCTAATGAGATAATATCCTAAAACAGCTTTCTAGTTCCCTAGTGAATGCTTTGTGTTTTTATCCTTAAGTTTGTTTTCAGTTATTTTATCTACTAATTCTTTGCGTAACTCTTTATTAGTATCTAAGATTTCGATATAAACTGACTCCATGGTATTGATTCCTATTATACAAATAAATTCAGGTAAAGCTCGAAAACTTGATGTATCTATTGATTTGCAAAAGATTTATTACCAGCCTTCAGGTTATCAGACGACTGCGAAAAAATTGCATAAAGCTTCTCTAAAAGCTGGGTTTAAGTTTACCTTAAATGAAGTGTGTGATTGGTTTGAAAAACAGGCTGTGCATCAGGTTTATATGCCTCACTCTAGAAATATTCCAAGTGCATCTTTCATTAATATTACTATACCTATGTGGGTTATTCAAGCTGGTTTATACTATATGTATTATGATCAAATTGGAAATAAAATTTATAAATTTGCACTTAATTATGTAAATATTACTACTCGTACAAAATAGACCTATCCCTTAACTAGACATGATTCTACTAGTGTAGCTATAGGCTTTGAGAAACTTTTTAACTCTCAAAAATGTCTACTTACTTGGCATAAAAAATATCTTATGGTGGATGGAGGTGTTGAATTTTGGGTAATATTATTAGATTAATAAATAAATATGATATCAATATTCGAAAAGCTAATTCTAAAGAAAGTATGGGCATTGTTGAAAGATTTAATAAAACATTACAAGAATAGTCATCTGTTATTCAAGATGCTTTTTATATGTGATTACCTATATTAGAACGTTGTTAAAAATCTTCCAATTATTCTTGAGAATCTTGATAATTCTGTGATTCGTCTTCTAGGTATTTCTTCTGCTAATACACAAAAACTAAAGTATGTTTATATAAAACCTTCTAAGTCTCGAAATGAGCCTATGGGATTTGATGAGAAGCAATTAACTTATTATGTTCTTGTAAGATATTTACTTAATCTAGGTGAATTAGAAGGTGAAAGAAGACGTGCTGAAGATATGATTTGGTTTCCTCAAGTTTATCATATCCGTGAATCTTGTGTAAAAAAATCAGCCAGTCTATATTGGCTAGAAGATGATAAAGGCAATAGTCCGAAAAGATCTTTTGTGAGAGAAAGATTGATAGTTATTAAAGAAGCACAGCTATCACCTCGATAGGTGCTTAGTAATTAAGAAAGTCTTCAAGTTTTTTATTAACTTGTTCTTCAGTATTAAAATAATCTTTGGCTAATTTATAGTATAATTTATATAGATCTATTACAGCATAAAGAATTTTCAGATCTTTTCCATA